ATTCCCATTTTCTTTAGCTATATGATATCTGCAATAGCAGACATTACTTCCTTCCTTTCTTAGGTAGGATAATATGGTAATAGATGCACCTTTGCATCTATCTCTGAACCCACATGCTGTGTGTTTATATTATATCTCATCACAATCACACTGCCTCTTTTGTGGGAAACTAAATACATACTTACAGCTTTCACTGCATGTAGCAAAAAAGCCATGGATTTGGAGTCAGTTTGTTCTTATTTGGATATATAATTCATTAGTTGTGTTTTCTACAAAGTAGCCTCTTTTACTTATTTGGAAATAAAAAGGGCTCGTCTTTGGGTATAATAAAATAGAAAATTTTCTTTAGAGCCTGTCTTTATTAGAGCACATGTTAATTCAAAGTGTGAAGCTTTGAGGATTAGTTAAAATAGAGTTTCCAGTTATTGATTTCTGTTTTTTGACTGTTTTATATTTTAGGAGCCAAGGTCTTTTCAGTAAGTTGAAATACAGGTCTCCTTTCCAACTCCTCTTACCTTACATGCAAATCCCAGAAGGGCAGGGACTTTATCTGTTTTCTTTATTATATCCCTAACTTCTAGAATAGTACCTGGCAAATAATGAGTGCTCAATCAATGTTGCATGAAAGAAGATATTTCAAAGGAATTGAAGAAGATATTTCAAAGGAATTGAAGTTTTAAGTGTATGTGACTGGCAGAATAAAAAGAGTTATTGCAAGAAATTGAGACTGAGAGAAAAGACAGTTACTTCAGAGGGAGTTCAGTTGAGTATGAGTGCAAGAGAAAGAGGCCTATAAGGTGTAAGAATATGGTATGGGATCAGATGAGAAGTCATATAGGATGATAGAGCATTAAGATTTATTGCAGAGGTAACACAGATTGAGCATCTCTTATTCAAAATGAGTGGGACGGGACTAGTTTGTTTCTGATTTCAGATTTCTTTGGATTTTGGAATATCTGCATTACACTTACCTCGTTGAGCATCCCAAACTCAAAAATTTGAAAGCTAAATGCTCAAATGAGCATTTTCTTTGACAGTCACATTGACACTCAAAACATTTCAGATTTTGGAACATTTCAGATTTCTGGGTTAGGAATACTCAACCTATAGTAGAACCCCTTTGAGGGAAACCCATGATTCCGCCACTATTGCCTATCATTTGGGTTCTGATTATACTTCCCAATTTATACAGTGTATTCACATAAACCATTGAAAGAGAAATGGCTTTCAGAGTGGACGGACTCTCTGAAAGAAGAAAATGTGTATGGAGAACTTGGGGGTCAAGAACTGGAACTTGCTTCCAGTAAGAGGGTAAGAAGTAGAGCCGTCATCATGGGTAAAAGAGAAGTTGTTGTACTGAAAAAATTAAGAGGGTTATTGAAAAGGTGTGATTATGGAAACCAAGGTAATAGAAAGGTCAGAATATAAATGAAGCCGTTGACAATTTAAGGTTTAGAGCAAAAATTAAGGACAATGATGAATAATTTAGCTCTTAGGAAATTCCTGGTTATATGAGAGAGTGAAACATCCATGTAGAGAAAACATGACTCCGTAAGAATAGGATCATATTGAAGTGGAGAATGAATATAGAAGAAATAGAGGTAACAGTTATAAACTGGCTGCTTGAGAATTAACAGTGAAAGAATCTAGAAAAAGCACGAGGCTCCTGGATGGGTTATTAGGGTCACATGAAAAGGATGGATTTTTTCCCTCCAGGTTAATGTTTTCCCTACCCCATCTTCTGGTTAATTATCTCCTATCCCAGTTACAGAGTTAACTTTATATGCAAGTAGTTAAAAAAAAATTCATAACTACTAACATAAGTACAGAAAAGGGTCTAAAACATACATATCAATTTTATACTCATTATTACATTTATATACTTATGTAAATTTAGGAAGAATCTACTTTGAATTTAAACAGATGAATCAATAAGATTAGAATATTCAACTTTATAAACAGTTTTAGCATAAAATATGCAGGTATGCTACTGTGTCTGAGAATCTTCTTGAGTAAATATAAAAAAGTTATTTTAATAGTTTTACTTCAGAATAATACACTCTGTATGTTTGGTTTGATTAATGAGCCTGGCAGATTAGATACATGTCTCACTCTCTTCTCTATTTGGGCAGGATCTAGAGTCGTTTAATACTGGAGAGAGCAAGATTAATCCTTCCATATCAACTGACATCCTTTCAACCTGCATTAAATTTCTTGGTGATAAGAACCTGGACTCTCCTGAGCAAACTAAAAGAGAGAATAGCTGATATATTGGAAATGGGAATAAGAAAGGCTAGATAAATGTTACTGTACAGGACATTTACAGAATCAGAATTAACTTTAATAATTTCTTTGTAAATTAAACTTTTAAGAAAATTAGATCTTTTTTCATCAATTCATCAATCATAATTAAGAGATATTAATTTTGAATACGTTAGAGTATTGTTTTGATTTTGGTTAGCCACTATAATTCAATCATAAATACAAGGAAATATGATTGGGAAATTTATTATCAGCAGTTGACAAAGGGGAAATAAATATATTTTAATTCTTAAGCAACATTACGGCTGTATAAAAAAATTACCTGTATTCTTGCCTCCCCTAATCAAATGTTAGAATTACTCCATGTTACCTTCTAGTTTTTAATCCATATATATTCAGAAGATCGAGAAGGGAAAGGGAATTATGTTCTTTATATTTCACTTAGCTATAATACTCATGGATAGACTTTAAATGACTGATTTTCTATCATATATCATGATTTACGTTTCCCATTTTTATTATTAAACATTTAAGTGATTTCCTAATTTTTCTATTCAAAGTAACACTGCATTTATTTTCATTGTTTCTATAAATTTTTATTTATTTCCTTTAAGATAAACTCTCAGGAGTAGTTTTAGTCAACAGATGTGAATCACATATTAGTTGTTATGAGCTATTATGTAACTTGCCCAAGGTCACACAGCTAGAAAGTGACAGAACTAGAATTAGAACCTAGCAATCTGGGACCATGTTCTAAACCAATGTACTGCGCTACTGGCTCAAGAGATCCCCAATCCCATGTTGCTGATCTAGATCATGAAAGTTTAATATGCATCCAATTTGTTTATCAAAATTATGGCATGATTTTGCTGTGTGTCTGATACTGTGTTAGGGATTCAAGAAAGAACAGAATATAGGCTCTGCCTTAAAAGCCTATAAACTAATTGGGAAAAGGAACAGATAGATAAGAAAATACAGTAAAATGTAATGAGTTATATATTAGGATGCTATATGAAGACAAAGAAAAGAGTGGCAAACTGAGCCAGGTAAGGGGAGTTGAGTGTAAAGAGACTTCTAAGTAGGATTGGGTTTGCTTAAGTGGTCTGAATTAGTTCCTGGGAAACCATATTGAGCAAGCATTGGAGTGTACTGCCGGCATCAGAAGACCATAAAGGCTACATGGAGCTGTAGAGAAAATAAACTTTACTGAAACTTGGAACCTGGACTAAAACATGAGCCTTGGAAGTTAAATTATGACTGAATAGAGATTGAGGACTCCAGAGAGATTTACCCTCTATGAGATATGTGTTTACATTTGAAGGGAGTAAGGAGTGGGTGATCCCTGAGACCGTGGAAATATTTCCTAAGTTGTAAAACCCAGAGATGCTAGTCTTATCTTTTCCCTGGGAAAATTTGTTTTTGCTCAGGGATAGATTCTTCACTCAACCCATCACCCCGACCCAACCCCACCCCCTTGTCTCCAGAGGCAGGAGGTAAAATCTCAGATTGGTATTTTCAGGGTTCCTTGCTGAGTTAATTTCCTGTTGTTGCTGTCACAAATTGCCACAAATTAGTGACTTAAAACAACACAAATCTTATAGTTCTGGAGTTCAGAAGACTATAATGGTTCCACTGAAATAAACGCTAGGTGTTGACAGGGCTGCATTCCTTTTGGAAGCTGTAGGTAAAATCCCTTCTCTTGCCTTTTCTAGCTCAACTATTAATCCTGTGACTCTGTCTCATGAATATTTTAGGAGGTAGGCACAACTCTTAGATCTGGGTTTGGCAGTAGTCAAGACAACTCACCTAGACCTATCTTTGATAAACACTCACTGTGGAATTAGTTCTTAGTCTTCTAGATCTAACCACAGCTCCCCTCAGAAAGTATTATACTATGTGCTGTGGTCTGAATGGGGCATTAGAGGGTGATTAGATCATGAGGTTGGAGCCCTCAGGAATGGGAATAGTGTACAGTGACATGGTGGGAGTAGTTGCCCCTCCCAACATGTGAGAGAACACAGCCAGAACGCCTCTATGAAGAATGAGCCCTTACCAGTCACTGAATCAGCTAGCAACTTAATCTTGGACTTAGCAGCGTCCAGAACTGTGAGAAATAAGTGTTTCTTACACAGCATTTTTATATAGCTCAAGCAGATTAAGACACTATGTAAATATATGCCTTATTATTTAAAAGGTTAGCTGATGGTAGAGAACGTTTTCTCTAGATTTAGTTCAGGCTTACATATTACTTACTGTCTTTAAATTAGTTGCAACTAATATAGTAGTTGTTGTCACTATTAAATAACTATGTATGCAACAAATAGATCAGAGCAATAAAGGAAGAATTAAAAATTAGTGTGGAATACTTAATATACCCTTAGGCATCTATATAATTGACATTAATCTGTAAATTACCACTTTGTTTTCTTTTCCTGTCCTCCTCACTCCTTTCATTTCTCCTTTTCATTTTTTCTTCCTTTCCTTTCCCTTCCCTCCCTCTTTATTAGCAAGTATTATAAAGATATTTACATTTATTTTCTTAGTATTGTTATTCTAGGATAGTTTTTTTTTCCAACTATGAGAATTAGCCATTCAAGCTATTGTAAATCACACCTTCAGTATAAACTGGATCATCAGCTTAGAAGTAGAGTTTATCTTCTAAATTTGTTATCTTCAATGTATTTCAAGGTAGGAAAAAAGCAGTTTTCATCCTTTTATTTCCTTCCTTTCTATTTTAGGACTTTTCTTGGTAGAGATGGAAATCCAAATAAACGGAATGTGCACAATGAAACATCTATGCATTTGTTGTGTATGGGACCTCAAATTATGATATCTGAAGGAGCCCTTCATCCTCGTTTGGCACGCCCCACAGAAGATGATTTCAGAAGAGCAGATTGTCTGCAGATGATCTTAAGATGGAAAGGAGCAAAACTTGACCAGGGTGAATATGAGAGGGCAGCTATTGATGCTGTTGATAACAAAAAAAACACACCCTTGCACTATGCTGCTGCCTCAGGGATGAAAGCCTGTGTAGAGGTAAAACTTTTCTTTCTTTTTAATATTCTGCATTGTAAAATTTGTGTCCAGGTAATATGTAATTGTCAGTAATTGTTTTGATTGTCTCATTAACTTGTCTGGTTGTTTTTTGTTTTTTGTCTTTTGTCTTGTAAAAGACCTTTTTAAATAAAGGGCCTCTTCTGGAGTGCAGTGGCTCAATCTCAGCTCACTGCAACCTCTGCGTTCAAAGTTCAAGCGATTCTCCTGCCTCAGCCTCCTGAGTAGCAGGGACTACAGGCATGTGCCTCCACACCCAGCTAATTTTTGCATTTTAATAGAGATAGGGTTTCACCATGTTGGCCAGGGTGGTCTTGATTTCTTGACTTCGTTTCCACCTGCCTCAGCCTCCCAAAGTACTGGGATTATAGGCATGAGCCACCACAGCTGGCCAAGGGCCTCTTTTAAATAAAGTTATTTCATTGTTTTAGGGAAAGAGAAAGCCCCAGAGGTGAACAGTCACTTTTGTAATAAAGTAGAATCAAGAGCAGTTAAAAATTTGTTAGTATCTCCTAAAATATTGGTCATCAATTAAGTACTATTATATTGCAAGTGGTAGTAGAGATATATTCTGCTTTTTTGCTGATTTTTTTTTTGTCACCAATTTATAAAATTTATACATGTTGAGTATAGCAAATTTTTGGCAAGTGGGACTTACAGTTATGTAGAATTGATGAGCTCACTAAGCAATGAATAAATACTAATGAATACATTTATTGGAGTCTTTAAAATCACTTGGAATTTTAAAACGTGTATTTTTCTGTTTGTGTTAAAGTGCTCCTGAATGCATGCTATATTATATCCTAATTTTTCCATATATATTTTATGTATAAATAAGATTATCTATATTTACAAAATATTTAACAACAAATTAGATAAAATCATGTAATATGGGATCTTAACTAAGGTAGGAAATCATTATATAGTATTGTCACTACTATACATACAACAAAATAGGTTTTTCTTAGCTACTGATATTCATATCCATCCTTACGTATCTCGTAGAAGTTCTTTTGCATAGATGTATTTAAGTATGTATGGGAGGCATTTTAGACTGGATTACAGAGTATTTTTATTACTAAAAGTATATACCTTTATTGGAAAAGCAATTATCCTAATAAGATTGATATATATACCTGAAAATTTCATGTTTCCTTAATGTTGTTCATGTGTACTTTAGACTTCTATATTGATCAGTATACCAAAGTATCAATGTTCATTTTCTCATATTAAAAGATTACCATCACTTATATTATTTCTTTAGTATATCTGAAGTGTCATTTCTTTCACTTTTAGTATGCTTGTGATCTTTTGTTTACTGCTGATATTTGTGATGCTTGTTAATCTTTTAGAGTCTTTGACATTTCGTTGAGTTTGTGTAACCCTTACCTATTAGTTAGTTAGTGATGGTCATTAACTTGAAACTACTTTTCAAGCAATGCTTTGTGTTTTTTTGTTTCTTTTTTGTTTTAAGAGACAAGGTCTCTATGTGTTGTCCAGGCTGGTCTCAAACTCCTGGGCTTAAGTGATCCTCCTGCCACATCTTCCGGAGTAGCTAGGAATATAGGTACACACATGCCACCATGCCTGGCCACAGTGCTTTCTAACATTGATTCACTGTGGTGGAAGAATGTCCTAGGATTTGAAGGGTAGGGGACTTATAGCAGAATTCCTGAGGCTTTTTACACAAGCTTCTCTGTATATTGTCCTATGTTTACCTATTGTGGAAGAATCCCTGGTATAGTGACTCACTATTATTGAATGGGACTGCGTCATATTTCTCAAATGGACTGGAGTAGAAAGTAGATTTTTCTGCATAGTAGAAATACTCTTAAAATATTTTATAACTATTAAATGCTCTTAAAATATTTTAAATATTAAAATGCTCTTAAAATATTTTAAATATTAAATGCTTTAATATCTTGCTTCCAAATTTTCTCTATAAACATTGTTGTGGATTTTGAAGTATGTTGACAAGGACATGCTTATTAAATTGTTAAAAAAATTGAGACTGGTGTTTTTACCAGCATTACTTTTTGCTCAGTGCCAGGTTTATACTGTACTATCTGGCCAGCCCGATAATTTGCTTGATAAGTGTGCATGAGCATGTAAATGTGTGTGTGCTTTAACTGTGTGACCTATCAGCATATCACACCGCATAAACCACACCATTTGATGACTATTTTTATTTTCTGTATTCAGAAGAGCTCTTTGACTTAATATTAAATATAAAACATTCCAAAAGGAGCCTTATAAATACCTTACATTTATTTTAGTTTTTTCAACAAATTAGCATATTTTATTCAGGTAAAGCTTATCTTTAATTTCTTATTTATACTTGATTATATATACTCTTGTCCAGCCTTCAGCCCTTAACGATTTTTTTATTATGTATACTGCTAATTAAACCAGAAGAGTTTCCCAGGGAAGTATATGTTAATTTATCTCCAGAAGCTGTATTTTGTTTTCTTGTACAAATGCACATAATAAATACAGTTGTGACTTGGTATCCAAGGGGTATTTGTTTCAAGACTCCCCACAGATACCAAAATCCACAGATGCTCAAATCCCTTATATAAAATGGCACAGTATTTGCATATAACCTACACATATTCTCCTTATACTTTAAATTGTCTCTAGATTATGTACAATACTTACTACAATATAAGTGTCATTAGGGAATAATGACAGGAAAAAAAGTGGATGTTTAATACAGACACAACCATCTATATTTGTTTTCCAAATATTTTCTACCTGCTGTTGTTTGAATCCACAGATGTGGAATCTAAGGATGTGGAAACCACTGATAGAGAGGACTGACTATACATTGCAATATGTGACCTACTGTATAGCTGTACAACTTCATTCTTAGTATGAGTCTGTACTTATCTTTAGGTGGTATCATACTACTTTGATGAACAGGAAAGGCTTAGATGTCTCTTATAAAGTTTACTATCATGGTTAACTTAAACAGTTTTTTTCTAAATGTATTTCTTTACATCGTTGCTTTTAGTCTCTGCCTATAAGAATAATAGTTATAACAACTAACTTTCGTATAATGCTTTCTAATGTTTATAGTGTTTATTGGTATCAAGCATGGTATAAAGGTTTGGGTTGAGTGAAAGAGTGTCACAGATATTTATTAATGTTTCATAAAACTAAGAGATTATAGTATAGTGGAGGGAGCACTGATTTTTAGTCTCAATCCTTAAAGTGCCTATTTATGGGACTTTGCATGAGTCATTCAGCCACTGTGATAGTTTCCTTTTGGGTGATTGGAATAGGTGATCTCAAATGTATTTCAAAGATTCCTTTTAACAGAAATTCTCTATTAACCAGTTATTGTAGTAAAATATATCCCATTTTTAGTGTCTAACCTTTAATATCAAAGAGAATATCTTTTTTCCCCATGGTTAAAGCCAAATTGCTTTTAACTATGTCTGTGGAAATATATCTTCTCTAGTTACTGAAAATGTTTTTCTCTTTGATGCCAGTTACTAATGACACTTACAGGAAATTTTTTAAAAAATAGAAAAAAAAGAAAAAATGTTTTTCTCTCCAGTGTATTTATTTAAGGATAGAGTTGATGAAGTCATCATTGGCATTTAATAATTTAAACAGACAGTTTCCTGTAGCTCATTATTTTGCACCTTTGTAATAAAATATTTATTTTAAAACTTCCCCATCTCCCTGTAATAATTGTGTTCTGTAATAAGCTCCCCCTCCCCATACACACACAGAGAACATAAAATTAAAACCCCTTAATTATAGAGTTCTTCTGGGAACCTCTGGGTGTGACGGTATCACACGGTATGTAGAGAGTTGCATTGGCTGTGTCTCTGATGCCTAGACTTGACTTATTAAACTTTTTCATGCTATGTTGCTGCCTGGTTAACTTCTTCATATGGATATCCAACAATCTCTCAAATCCAGAATTGTACTGTCATCTTTTCTAACCACTGGAGACTTCACTAGTGCTTGATTCTTGACTCTAGATTCTATTAATAATGCTACCATTATCGCCTTATCCGGTATGGATAACTGTACTTAGCTCAGATTTCCCTTTTTTTTCTTTAATTGCATCAAACTCATGCTACGTATGGCAGAGTGAGCTCTGTCTCTTTGGACCAGTTCCTTCATTATTTCTGTGGCCACTTTCTAATACTAAGTGCTTTATGTTGAGTCCTCACTTGGGCATATTTTTCAGAACTTCCTTACACAGAAAAATCTGGAGTTTCACAAATTAAGGATCCTAAATTATTTATGAGATAAAAATAATGCAGAGGAGTAGTCTAGAATTGTTTGAAAATTGGAAATGCTTATATGATAAACATTTATTAAGGACAGACTATAAATAAAGCACCTCAAATTCTAATTTTATTTACTGTTCCAAAAGTTATTCACAGATCAGCAAACTTTTTTCTATGAAAGCCCAGAGAGTAAATATTTTAGGCAACTCTGACATTGTACTCTGCAAGCAGCCAGACAGTACATATACAAAAGAGAATGACAGTGTTCTAATAAATTTTTATGTATTGACATCACCATTTGACTTGCTTATAATTTTCATATGTCCTGAAATCTCTTTATTCTTTTCAACCATTTGAAAATGTAACAACTATTTTTAGTTTGTGGGTTATACAGAAACAGGCAGCAGGTTTGATTTGGCCTAAGATGACTCCATACTTCAGAAGCTTATTTTAAATATGTAAAATAGCATTATCAATATGTAACAGGTCCTATAAGCTTCAGTTATACAAAGGGCTTAAAAAGCACTATGTAGTGGATACACAGTACACAAAAATAAAGCTCCATTAAAACTTAAGTCCTACAAGAATTTAATAATATACTTTTCTTAGTTGCTGAGAATTTTGGCTTTCTGCTTGAGAACAGGAGTGGACTTTAGAGAGGGATGGTAGGTTAGATCTATTAGCATGGTCCAGTAAAACATCTGATGATATTTCCCCCTTTGGTAGACTTCCCCAGAGCAAAGCTAGTCATTAGGCCTCATTACATTTCCATTCATCCTTAACCTGTAATAGTGATTCAGTAAATAGTGGATGTGATGGGGGTTGTTTTTGATAGTGCTTTACTCTTTGTGAAAAGCATTTTTTGTTTAAATGAGTGTTATCTTATTTCCTATTCACCTTGCCCTACTTGCTTATTCAGAGTTTTAAGTGTAGCTGCTTTACATCAGATCAAATAGAGGTCATTATAAAACCAAAGGTGGTGAGTCACACATTTTCTTTTATAGCTACAGGGCCTATTTGACCCTTTGGCAGCTATCAGAGCATTTTACACTTCATTGAAAAGTCATAAAAACCATTCACAGGTCAGACTGAAGAATATTACCTAGTTATATTGTGTTTCTAGCACCTAGAGTTTTTAAACTGTGTAAAGAATACAGGAATTATATTCCCAGCTCAGTAGCTGAGTAACTGCCTTTCTGGGCTTCTGTTTTCTAATTTTTAATCAAGATAGTTATGATCTCATTATTGTCTCTGAAATATTATGCTAAGACCTATATTAACTATGTAGGCAGTGACTGTTACAGGCATTGAAAGGAAGGAGAGATTATTTTAATTTTACATATCCTGGAAGATTTTATGGGTACTAGTAAGATTAGAGTGGGTAATATTTCAGTTTAAGTATTTGGAGGAGGCTCTTCAAAATGTGGCTCTCAGACCTGCATCATCTGACAACTTGTTATAATTAACAAATTATTGGGCCAACCAAACCTTCACATTCTTAACTTATATCTCTGGGAATAGATTCCAGCAATGTTTTAGCAAATTCTCCTGGTAATTATTTGCATGGCAGAGTTTGAGAAGCTCTGTTCTAGGTCTCAGACATATGCAGATTGAAATATTTTGTGGAGGAATATTAAAACAGATTACTTTAAAGGAAGATAGAGGATGTACCAAGTAGAAAGTACTAAAGGCCAAGGTTAAGAACCTGGGGTTTCTTTTAGAGAAAATTGAGCCATTGAAGATTTTTTGGCTGAGTGCAATGGCTTACGCCTGTAATCCCAGCACTGTGGTTGGCCGAGGTGGAAGCATTGCTGGATCCCAAAAGTTTAAGATCAACCTGGGCAACATAGTGAGACCTCATTTCTACTAAAAATCAAAAAATTAGCCAGGCATGGTGGTCCACGCCTGTAGTCCCAGCTACTCGGGAGGCTGAGGTGGAAGGATTCTTGAGTCCAGGAGGTCAAGGCTACAGTGAGCCATGGTCATGCTACTGTACTTTAGCCTGGGTGACAAAGCAAGATCCTGTCTCCAAAAAAAAAAAAAAAGAAAAAGAATTTTTTATTAGAGAAGTGATAGATATTATGAAAGCAAATGTAATGAGATTAGCTTGATGGTTGTAATGTAGAATGCATTTGAATGGGATGCTTCTAAAGCAGCGTTTCTTAAAGCCTTGCTACTCAAAAGAATTGTCCTCAGACTAGCACTGACGTCAATCAACTGGGAACTTGTTGGAAATTCAGAATCTCAGCTCCATCCAAGAATAACCAAATGTGAATCTAGTTTAACAAAATCCCAAAGGGATTCTTATTTAAAGCTTGAGAACCCTGGCTTAGGGCATAATTTATGGGGGGGGGCCTATATTGGAATCACCTGTGAAAAGTATACATACTTCTTACAGTCCCCTCTCCAAATTCACCTAATAGGCCTATCAGGCTACCCAAATTATTCTTACACCGTTTGAAGACCTTTGTACTAGAACAGTAGTTCTAAGCATGGCTACACAGAAACCTCAGACCAATAAAATTTAAATTTGTGAGAGGGGACCCCAGACGTTGGTTAAGTTGAGAAACAATGTATTAGAAAGAGTGATAGGAGTTAGAAGATTAATGCACTAATTCTGGTATGAATTGACAAAGCGTCTGGGTTTGTGTGGTAGTATTAGAGATGGGAAGAATGAGGCAGATGCCAGGGGACATTGTGAAGAACTGTTAGCCTTTGGTGACTAGGTCAGTTGTTATAAGAAAGCAAGGGAAAGAAAGGTTTTTTTAAAAAAAAGGATGGGGGCCCTATGATGTTAAATACTGACATTAGTGAGCTCTCTTTAGACAATATAATTTTCTCTCTTTGATTTGTCCACATTCTCTATACCTGCTATCACCTCTATAGAGTAAAATTAATTAACTTTATTTTTAAATAAGATGGGCATAGTTTTGAACCTGAATGACTTCGAAGCCTGCTAACAATTAACAGACATTTGGAAAAGTGACATGAAATGGAGGAATTGGTTGAAAGGAAGGGACAGTTTATTGAGTTTTCATTTAGAAGCCTGGATGTTACATCTTAGCTGATCCACATGAAATGATAGGCAGGCTGCTGACAATTATGACTAAAGTGTTAGGGAGTAAAGAATATAGACACTCATTTAGAATTTAGAATTGAGTGTTATCTACATAGAGTTGACATTCTAAAAGCAAGATAATGTATAGATGAGAGATACAAGGAAAACACTTTAGGTTATAGGTAAAATAATAGAATTAAAGTCACAGCATCAATTTGAAGAATGCGTATGTTTAAAGAGATGACAGCAAAAAGTGGTGCCTATGAGGGGAACACAGAAAAAGTGAAATAAAGGAACCAAGATGATACAAGATGCAAGAGAAGAATTTCAAGGAGAGGACCTGATCCATCATGTGATGTGCTACAGAAAGGTAAAATAATTGGGGGACTGAGAAAGACTGATGGATTTGAGAGTTAAGAGGTATTAATGACTTTCTGCAATATCGTTTCAGTAAAATACTCCAGGTAGAAGTCAGATTGCTGGGCATAATTGAGTCATTTGCTGAGGAAATTGAGAGACAGTTGGTATCAATCACTAATTTGAGAAATGTGAAGGCCAAGAAAGAGAAAGTTTTTTAGGAAAGTAACTAGAAGGATAGCAGGATTAAGTTATAGTCCTAGGTAAGTCAACTGAGAGTCACCAGCCATTTAGAGGGTGATCAAAGGAATGGGGTAGGATTTGTCTTAAGTAGTAGGGGTTATCTCTGTTAAAACCCCTACCCCTCTTCCTCTGGAATTGTGAATGGAAAGAAAGGCAGAATAGAAGAACAGATGTGTTGAGATCATGATAATTTGGTTTCTTTTAATATAGAACATTTTACATGCCACCAAGATAGGCTTAAAACTATATTTCAGTAAAATATTCAACCCTCCCATTAAGTCCTTCTTAGCTAATTTGAAACTGGGAAAGCCGATACTTAGTTGGGATGCTTTGGTTGAAGCATTTAAAAAATACTCTTCAGAACCAAACTTTCTGTTTTGTCAAAGTAAAACACCTTAACTTTATTCCACAACATTTTAGTAGTTATCTCTACTTAACACATCTTTTACTTACTGGTGTTCCTGACTTTATGCCCTAAAGGTCAGCAAGCTGAAGTACTTTTTAACACGTTCTCCTCAATGTGTGAGGCATTATTGCTGCCAGCTATCTTCTGTGCCAAAGGTAACATACAGGCGGATTTTCATAGCCAAGTCAAATACTACAAACATGGACCTTCTCATTTCATAACTGATATGAGTTTTTCTATAGGTGCCAGATTGCACAATGAGATACAGGTCGTTATGGTTCCTCACCCCAACTCCAGTCAAACTGATTAGGGAACACCTTGCAAAGATAGTTTACCAAATATGCTCACCCAAGTTCTAACAATGGTCAGCAGTGACTTTTCACACATCCCCTCTCCACACACATTTTTAAAACCCCCCAATGAATGAAGTCCACATTCTGGCGTATCCTTTTAATAAGATTCTCCTTACCAAGATTCTGTTAGGGTACAGCTTCTTAAATTTTATTGTCTTTGCTTTTATTAAGGAAGACTGGGGCATTAAATTGAAGATGATTTGTCTTATTTTCTAATATTTAATATTTTTTCTGTGGTAATATCTGTTGCAAAGTAAACCAAATCCTGACTTTGAGAGTTATCCAAGCAGGCGTTTAGAAATAATTTTCTGTGACTCTAAATAGAGAACTCTCAAGAATGAAGTCAACTCTTTAGTTCTGCAGCAGTAAGGAGCAGATAGTCTATTTTGTATTTATGTGTTGATAACCTATGAAGCAGAGAGGGTAAAAATAATAATAGATCTGCTATAGATATGTTCAGTCTCTAGACTTACTACAAGTTCCCAGTATTGAATAAATTAGGTAATATAAATTTATCAATTTCCACAGCCACATTAGTTGTTCTCTAGGATCATTGCTTCTCAAACATTTATGTGCAAAAAGAATCTCTTGGAGATGAGAATGACATTTTGATTCAGAGGCCTGGGCTTGGAGGGAGCGGGGGATCAAGCTGAGATTCTTCATTTCTAACAAACTCCCAGATGATATTGCCCACACTTGCACTAAAAAGGTTCTAGGTGGTAAATAGCAGCTGATAAGACCTTGCCCTCGGAGTCTAGAAGGTGGCTGCCAGAATGACAATTTAGAGCCATTCTTAACAAACATTTTTCTGTAAAGGAGTAGATCATAAATATTTTAAGCCTTGTAGCTATGGGTCTATATTTCATATTCTTGATTGGTTTGCTTGTTTTTATAACTTAAAAACCCACCTTAGCTCTAAGGTGTACGCTTGGCTAGAGCAAGAAGCTAAAGTCAAATCCTGTGGGCTTGTGAAGTTAGCCCATGCCTTCCGGATCTGACATTGATAAAAGCCCCTTGTTTTGCAAGGGCTCTTAGGACTGTAGGAGAACCGTGAGGATTCCAGTTCTAAAAAACTTTATAGGAAGGTTGTGTGTTGAGGAAAGAAAGAAGATAAAATTATTTGGAAGAAAATAAAAAGAAGCTACCATTTTGACTAATTCATGTGAAATGAAAATCTCTATAAAAGTATTAACATTTAGGTAATAAATAAGAGCCTGAGAAGAACTTCAAGATGGACCCAGGATGCATTTAACTTCTGCGATATATGTGATTAGCCTACCTACTTACGAGTCAGTGTAGTGTCCAGTCATGGTTAAAAACCTGGTCCAACTTGTGTCTGAAGCCCAGTTCTACTGCTTACTAGCTGGGTAACTTTAGAAAAGCTACTTAACTATTCTGAGATATAATACCCCTGTCATATGAGTTGTTAATATTAAATGAGAGCATGTGCTTTAAAGTGTTTAGAAAATGGTAAATAGTTACCATTACTATATTATTATGAGTATGACTGATTCCTATAAAAGAATCCTGTGACTGTCAGGCTGTCCATTAGAGTTGTCCTAGATATGGCTGTCCTGGCATTCATGTCTTTCTTGATGTCTTTGCAGACATATGGGGAAATTTGAACCTACATCCCTCAGTGACAACATATTTAACTTCTGCAAAGCTAGCAGAAACCTCATTATTAAACAAGTCAAGTCACTATTCCATGTATTGTATTTATAAAGGTGGAATTTTTTTGGGTCAAAGAGAGATGGACAGACTTATCTTCCCAATGTGGCTGTCAGTAGCTATTCCCATTACTTATTTTGAAGAATGTTGAAAACAGCTTTACCTCAGTGACTTGCTCATCCTAGTTTCACTTCAGTGTTTCACTGGATAATGAATGAAACTTTCGTCTGCCATGTCAGAACATCTAGATAGTAGTTAAAATAACAGTATCAGTAGTGTCCTTGTTTAAGAAAGATTTATAGAAATTATAAGAAATTTAAATTTTTAATGTACTGAATAACTGTAAACTTTTTCTGTCGTTAAACAAAATGTTATTTTTTGGACTAAACAAAATGCTTAAGAATTTCAGAAGTTTAAAAAATTGATTTTGGGGTTGTTTATTATTTTTATTATTTTTAATTAGGGGAACTCATTACTGAAAAACAAGAATTACTAATCTTAAATTAAGAAGCCACTGGTATCTAAATCCTTTTTTGTCATTTCAAATACATACTGTACATACTGTTACATTTTTGTTGTGTTAACTTTATGTTTTTAATGTTTTAAAAATAGGTAGTATGAAATAACTTATTTGAACCTGTGGTTGCAAGTTTTTGAAAAAAACTTTTTTAGCTTTTAGTAAAACATGGAGGAGACTTGTTTGCCGAGAATGAAAATAAAGATACTCCTTGTGATTGTGCTGAGAAGCAACACCACAAAGATTTGGCCCTCAATCTGGAATCTCAAATGGTGTTCTCACGGGATCCTGAGGCTGAAGAAATAGAAGCTGAATATGCTGCATTAGACAAACGAGAGGTCAGTTTTCCTCAGTAAAAAAATTGCATGTAATTTTAGATTTTATGTTGTTTTGTATTTTTTCTCCTTTAAAACTCAGTTTGTTCGAGACCATCCTGGTCAACATGGTGAAACCCCGTCTCTACTAAAAATACAAAAAAATTAGGTGGGCATGGTGGCACGTGCCTGTAATCCCAGCTACTCAGGAGGCTGAGGCAGGAGAATTGCCTGAACCCAGGAGGCGGAGGTTGCAGTGAGCCGAGATCGCGCCATTGCACTCCAGCCTGGGTAACAAGAGCGAAACTCCGTCTCAAAAAAAAAAAAAAAAAAAAAAAAAAACCAACTCAGTTTGTGTGTTCTTCTTTACAGTATTCTAAATATCCTGTCATCTCCATAGCCATGAAGTATGAACATACATCTAGGCTAGCCACCAGGGCTCATGCCTGTGGTTCCAGTGCTTTTGGAGACCAAGGCACTAGAGTTCCAAGACCAGCCTGGGCAATATAGCAGGGATCTATTTCTACAAAAAAATATAAAAATGTGCTGGGAATGGTGGCCCACACTGATTGTTCTAGGTAATCTGGAGTCTAAGGCAAGAGGACTGCTTGGGCCCAAGAGTTCAAGGCTACCATAAGCTATGATCATGCCAGGGCACTCCAGCCTGGTGACAAAGTGAGACCCTGTCTCTAACTTTAAAAATAAATAAATAATGACACCTAGGAAATCTGGAGCTATGGGTCTTTTGTCTATCATATATGAGTGTGTTTATTTACAGATAAATAAGGTGCTGATGTGTGATATGAATCCCATTCACTCTTACTACTACAAGACTCCAATCCTCCTGCTCATCAGTCTCACCTTCTCTTCTGGGTTGATCTTATCAACAGACATGCTGTGGTAAATCCCATCTTAAAAACAAAATAAAAAACAAAAAAGCAGCCATTGACCCAACCCTTCCCCAGCCCTGTCTCTCTTCCCCTTTAGTTGTAGCCCCATATCTCTTATCTTCTTATGAAGAGAATCACTTCCTCACCTTCCATTCACTCTTTAGCCCAGTGCAGTATGCCTTTCTTCGCTTCTACTCTGATGGAACTGCCCCCCATCATGGAGTGACATCTTGCCAAATCTAGTGGGTACTTTCCTGCCTTCATGTTACTTGAATTCCTCAGTGGCGCCTGATGCAATTGACCAATTCCTTCTTAATGACACACTTTTCTCTTGGCTTTGGGGACAACATTCTCTTCTGGTTTTTCTTTATGTCTTCCTGGTCTCAGTAAGTATTACCTCTATCCACTGATTTGCTCAAGCATAAATGTGGGGAGCATTCTTGATTCCTCACATTTTCTTAATCATCACAACCCAACAATTGGGAAATCCTGTCAATTTTACCTCCAAAAATACAACTTAAATTCGTTTGTTCTTCCCAACCTGTACTCCTACCTCTCTAGGCCCTTACCACCTTCACTTCTTATCTGAGCTGCTATAATAGTTTCCTTACTGGTCTTCTTCCTTCTGTTCTTGTCTCTTTATAATCCATATTGTACACAGGATTCAGAATGACATTTTGAAAGTTATACATATCATTAAAATCATGTAATGATTTTTATTGTACTTAAAATAAAATCCAAACTGTTTGCTCGGACGTAAGCCCTTATGTGATCTGACCACTACCTGCCTTTCCAGTGTTATCTCAGACCTTTTATCCCCAGCGCACCTTGCTCTGTTGTAATACGGAGACTACACCAAGGCATTTGCAGTTGCTCTTTTCTAGATCTGAAATCTCCCAGTTATTTTTGCCATTCTTTCTAAAATAGGTCTCCTCTCTTCCCATTATTCTTTACTATATGCCCTTTTTACTTTAATTTTTAAATTCTTTTATTATTAATATTATTTTTGATTGAAAAATAATTGTATACATTTGGGAGTACGGTGTTGTGTTTTGATATGTATATACAATGTGGATTGATTAAATCAAGCTGATTAACATATCCATCCCTAAGTCACCTATCATTTTTTATAAGGAGACACTTGAAATGTACTCTTATTTTGAAATATGCAATACATTATTATTGGCCATAGTCACCACTGTGTAATAGATCACAAAACCTATTCTTCCTATCTTATCAGAAACTTTATACCCCCTGTTTATTTTTCGTAGGACCTATTACATGCTATAATTATTTTGTTTATGTGTTCATTTACTTGTTTATTGCTTTTCTCTACTATTAGATTGTCAACTCCATGAAGGCTAGAGTCATACCTGCCTATTCAACAGACTGTTTTCAATGTTTGAAACACTGTTTGCCCAAAGTAGGCATCCATAGATATTTCTTAAAGAAATTATAACACAGTAAATTTTTTCCTCCCAAAAGGAATCTGATTCCTCAGTATTTAGTGCTAACTTGATTCTTAAAGGTATTATGTAACTATTGATTTGTATGTGTTAACAAAAATAATCATATAATCATGTTGTTTATTTTCCCCATGAATTCCGAACAATTTCTGAGCTTTATACTCTCCATGTGACCAAAAGAACTGAGTTTCTTGGAATTAAAATTTACTTTTTAAAAAATGTTTTGTTTCTGTATTTAGGTTATATTATAGGCAAGCTTATTCAGATTAAGTACACACAGAAAGAGAGAGGACCTATGCCCTAACCATTTTATTGACCCTTCACCTAGTTTATTCCACATAGGAACCTTGAATGAAAATTGTGCTCCCGTCCCCACCTTTTTTTAGTAAGGAAGATAAACCTGAAAATAACTGAATAATTTGCTTGGATCACAGTGAGCTGAACTTCATCCATCTAACTTCAGGTCCAAGCAACTTCTCTTTGCCATATTGCCTCCTTTTTGACAATCCATTATCTTGAGTCAAACAGAAATCATTACTATAATGATTAGTATGGTCATTTAGTCAGAGGACATTTGAGCAATAATAGTTGAGAAATAATATTGATGTAATCAAATTGAAAGACATTTAGTTTTTTTCCCCAACATACCATCTTATTTTAATTTATAATTGAATCAGAAAATAGTAGTAGGTATTATCAGTAGCTTTAAGATCTAAATGTACTTAATATAACTAATATTATGTTAAAAGTTACAGAACAGTTTGATACTAATTATATAGGAAAAAACTGCCTATAAGAAGAATATTGAAGTATATCAAAATGATCATTGTGATTATAGGTGATCTCCTTTACTATTATTATTTTGTCTATTTTCATGCATTTCCTGACATTTATAAGGAATATTTATTGCTAACAATGTGAAATAATTCTTCATACTGACTGTACTCCTGAGTGGTAACAGTTTCTTGTGTTTACTATCAGACTTAAGCAAACATATATAGATAGATAGATAGATAGATAGATAGATAGATAGATAGATAGATTTTTTAATGCAAAAGTAAGATTATGTCATATTGAATTCTGTATTTTTTTGACTTAATATATAATGAACATCTCTCCTAAGCCAAAACATATAATCTACATATTTTAAACATTTACCTATTGATAAACATTTAATTTATATATTTTTACCTTTAAGAAAAGGCTATAGTGAATATTTTTCTGAGATATAATTTTCTTTATCCAGTTGTGCCATTATTGTTGTTAAAAATATGGATTCTAGAGCCAGACTGACTAGGTTCATATGTTTGCCTGATGATTGTACTGTGTGACCTTAAGCAGATTACTTAAACTCTCTGCCTCAGTCTCTTCTATTTTTTTTGAGACAAAGTCTTGCTCTGTCACCCAGGCTGGAGTGCAGTGGCTTGATCTCCACTCACTGCAACCTCTGCCTCCTGGGTTCAAGCCATTCTCCTGCCTCAGCCACCTGAGTAGCTGGGATTACAGGCCCATACCACCACACCCGACTAATTTTTGTAGTTTTAGTAGAGATGGGGTTTCTCCATGTTAGTCAGGCTGGTCTCAAACTCCTGACCTTGTGATCCGCCCATCTCAGCCTCCCAAAGTGTAGGGATTACAGGCATCAGCTACTTTGCCTGGCCCTCAGTCTCTTCTTAAAATGAAGTTAACAGTCCCAACCTCATAGGGTTGTAGTGATCCTTAATGAGTTAATATATGTATATGCTTTGACCAGTGTCTGACTCATTTAAAACATTGGCTAGTTGTCTGCTGCTATAATCATGATTATTACTTCATAGTCATCATTATTGCATTGTACACATTTTAGAAGTATAGTTCCTATGTGTCTCTAGAAATTGGTTTGATGGGTCTTAAGATTTTAAATTTTAACAGGTGCTCTTAAACTGTCCTGAAAGATTATATTAATTGACTTTTATTTCGTTAGTATATTAGAGAATCCTTTTCCCCACATTCTTACTAGCATTGGATATTATCAGTGCTATTGTTACTTAGCCAGTTTGGACAAATAAATGATACCTTGTTTTATTTCTCTGATTATCATATGAATTGACTGTTCAGTTTTGCATTTTCTATGACTTATATTTTCTTAATGCTTTCTAAGAGAACTTTGTGTATTTTTCCATATCCTAAGTTTTTTATGTATTATGGTATTCAGAGGTATAAATTTTTTTTCCTTTGTGTCTTCTGAATTTGTGACTTGCTAATACTATGATCACATGTTCCTATATTTTTCTAGTTTTGTAGATTTTTTTCAACCCATATTGGATTCATTTTGTCTACTATTTTCATAATGTAAAGAATAATACTTTCATACTCAAATAAATACCAATACCTGGATGTTTATAGCAGTACTATTTATAATAGCCAAAAAGTGAAAACAGCTCAAATGTTGATCAACTAATGAATGGGTAAATAAGATATGAGATATACACACAATAGAATATTACTTAGCCATACAAAGGAATAAACTACTAATACATGCTATACTATGGATGAGCCTCAAAAACATTATGCTAAGTGAAAGAAAGTGAGACTCAAAAGGTCACATTTGAATGATTCCATTTATATGAAAGATCCAAAATAGATAAAAGCCATAGAAACAGAAACTATATGCTGGGCATTGCCTTAGCTGGCTACCTGGTTAGCAGGTTTAACCTACTCTGTTCTGCAGGAGCTGCTGGCTTCCTGTGATGCCCAGGCAAGACAGCTGAATAAGGAGAGAGAAAGTTAAAATGTGAAGAACTAGGGGCAGGGAGGATAAGGAATGACTTCCTAATGTTTATAGGGCTTTCTTTTGGAGGTATGGAAATGTTTTGAAACTAGATAAAGGTGGTGATTGTACAACATTGTAAGTGTACTAGATGCCACTGGATTGTACACCATAAAATGGTTAATTTTATGAGTTTTACCTGAAATTTTTTTAAATTATTGTTTTTGAGACAGTTTCACTCTGTTACTCAGGGTGGAGAATAGTGGCGCCATCTCGGCTCACTGCAACCTCCACCTCCCGGGTTCAAGCGATTCTCCTGTCTCAGCCTCCCAAGTAGCTGGGATTACAAGTGTCCACTGCCACATCTGGCTAATTTTTGTATTTTTAGTAGAGACAGGATTTCACCATGTCGACCAGGCTTGTCTTGAACTCCTGGCCTCAAGTGATCCACCTACCTTGGCCTCACAAAATGCTGGGATTACAGACGTGAACCACCACACCTGGACCCCTTGAACTTTTAAAACCATCAATGCTTTCTTTAAAACTTACTTTTGTACCTTCTACTTTGACCCTGGTTAACTTCGGGGCTATTTTGCCTAGGCTATTGATTTTACATGGCCTGCTATATGATTGTATTAAGTCATATATTTAGGTACTTTAAAAAATTTATGTTCTCAGGTGAAATGTATATTTCAGCTGAGTTTTAATTCAGTTAATGATGTGGACAGTGTATAATATATTTCTATAACTTCTTGATACATCTTAATTTAGTCTTCCAAATTATTAATTATAAATGGGTAAAATCCACTTCTTAATCCCATCATTCAACAAAACAGTGACTGCTTTGCTAGACACTGTTTTAGATGCTTGGAGGAACAAAGATAAGTTCCTGCACTCCAGGTGTTTAGGTTCCAACAGGGAGAGAGAAACACACAAATAAGTTTAAAAGTAAGTGAACATGTAATTTTGGAGAGTGGGAACTGCTATAAAGAGATTTCTTAAATGAGGTATTTAAGTGATGGCTGGGAAGAGTGTGTTCAGTTCATTTAAACATCAAAGGGAGAATGGAAAAATTAGCAAGTCTTAGACCAAAGTTGGGGTCAGATTCTGTAGGAGTAGGACTGTGTGACTACATCTGAGTATATGAAGGGAAAAGTGGGCAATATGCTGCTATGAAAGCCCATCTGAAGAATCCTCTTTTCCCTTCCCTGCTCTTTGTCTGTAACTTAAAAAGGCTTAAGTTCTTTTTCTGACAAGAAACTCATGCTGGGCATTCCTGGCTACATTAGTTAGCAGGTTTAACCTACTCTGCTCTGCAGGAGCTGCTGGCTTCATGTTATATCAGAGTACGGCACAGGGTGGCCTAGGTCTTGATGCCCAGGCAAGAACTGCTGAATAAAGAGAGAGGAGGCCGGGTACGGTGGCTCACACCTATAATCCCAGCACTTTGGGAGGCCGAGGTGGACAGATCACCTGAGGTCAGGAGTTCGAGACCAGCCTGGCCAACATGGTGAAACCCTGTCTCTACTAAAAATACAAAAATTAGCTGGGCATGGTGGTCCATGCCTGTAATCCCAGCTACTCAGGAGGCTGAGGCAGGAGAATCACTTGAACCCAGGAGGTGGAGGTTGCAGTGAGCCAAGATCGCACCATTGCACTCCAGCCTGGGTGACAAGAGAGAGATTTCATCCCCCCAGCCCCCCAAAAAAAAGAAAGAAAGAAAAAAGAGAGAGAGGAAACTGAAATGAAGGGAAGAGTCAAAGAATCCTAAAGACTTTCCTGGCTATTTTTTTTTCCGCTCTCTTCCCAAGCTAAGCTCATAGATAAGCTAATGAGAGATTACTACTAAGGGGAATTAGAAATATCCTTTCTCTCTAAGCAGCTAAACATCTTTTAATTTTTTTTCTTTATTTCTTTAAAAGCCTACAGCACCCGGTATTCCCAGGCTGTCTCCCATTCAAGTACTAACTGGGCCCAACCCTGCTTAGTTTCCAAGATCAGACAAGATCAGGCACGTTCAGGGTGGTATGGCCGTAGATATCATCTTTTAAATTTTTAACAGTTGCAGATACTTTTGGGTAAATAAGTGCCTGTTCTTTTCTCTCTCTCTCTTTTTTTTTAACAGTAAACATGTTTTATACTCAGGATGGCAAAGGGGAGGGGAGTTTATTTTCCTTGTGGAAAAAAGTAAAAACAAATACTTTGATAATTCCTTTATGTGACAGTCTTCCTGAAATAATTTTTGAAGAGAACTATCATTTTATACTAATATCAAGGCAGTGCAGTTTGTATGATAGGCTGTTTCACAATTTTTCAGTGGTGTTTTGGTAGCAGTAGTATGCACTGATGCAAAAGAGGTGATTTTATTCACATTTCTTTTTAATTTAGTTTTCTTTTTCTTTGTGTCAGTACTGACTGCTTTGAAGGTTATTTCTGGTTTGTTTAGTCTGAAAATAGAAGCAGTTTATCTTTGCAACAGGAAGGAGAAAGGCACCTTCATTTTAATCTGTCTTGCAGAAGAGTGAAGTAGTGCCCACTTGGGACTGAGCAATGTATTGAAATGCTTCACATGACCTAATTACAGTTCTGTTGTGAAGATTCAGAGTGGGTATATTATGTGTTCATGAAGGCAGTGTGTCTCTGTCCTTTAAGAAAAATATTTCTTTGACTGTTACCTATTGAAGTTTAAAGCTACATGCATTTTTAAAAACTGGATCTATACAGATTTTCATATTATCTCTTCTTTCTTAATTTACCTAAAATTAAATCTTCAGATACATTATGTCAGAATTGCACGCAAAGCTAATTTTCCCCTGTAAGTTACTTGCACTGTCATTCTCAAGATAATACTAATCCGGAGAATCATTATTAAATTCACCATTTTCTCTTTCCCTATTTGGATCAATGTAAATGAAGTCGAATGATGGCTAACCTGAAAAGGCACATTTAGTATATAAGACCCGGAAATTTAAAATTGCCAGCATTGGGAATGTCAAGAAATAGTCACTGTCATTGCTGAGGCAGGGAGAGGTACCTGGATTCCCAAGTCTGGATTTGGAATACATTTTCTAGAAGCAATGTATGACTTCTGTACTAGAATGAGTAGTACTGATTTAACCATTAAAGAGTTTATTAGGTTTTTGCAGGGGAACTCATGTCTCATAAATTAGCTTAAAAGCAAACTGTATGTGATAGTTTGGGGCTTTTCTAAGTATAATTTGGATTAAATTGAAGTGCTTCTTTCTCTCTTATTTAATAATATTCCTATATAGAAAAGTTTAGGTTAACTTTCCTTTAAAAAAAAAAAAAAAGACAGAGAGATGAGATCTTGTTATATTGCTCAGGCTAGACTGCCGTGGCTATTCACTGGCATGTTTAAGGCACACTGCAGCATCACACTCCTGGGCTCAAGTGATCCTCCTGCTTCTCAGCCTCCCTAGTAGCTGAGATTATGGGCATTTGCCAAGTTCTGCTCCATTTCTTTTACGTTGATAGAATACCCAAATTGTGCCTACATGAACATAATATATTCATACCCAGTTGATTTGCAGAAAGAACAGACTGGACAATAATACTCAAAATTTTGATAATGATTGATTATTGCTCAATGGTGGGATTATAGGTTTTTATTTCTAATACTTTCTGTATAATCCAACATTTTAAAACTGTTAGATAAGATGGTCTTGCCATGATACTATATTTTATTTTTAGAATGATAAGGTACATGAGTCCCAGTATCTGCTTTATAACTTGCGAAAGGCAGTTTGAAGTCCATGATAATGGAGCATTTAAAAAGCCTTTTGAACTTTAATAACCAAATTTAATTTGGAATATTAAGTAAATGATAATCATACACAGTCATCCCTCAGTATCAGTGGGGGTTGGTTTCAGGACCCTTGTGGATACCAAAATCCACAGACACTCAAGTCCCTTTTATAAAATAGGGTAGTATCTGCATTTCTCCTATGCACATCCTCTCATATACTTTAAATCATCTCTATGTTATTATAATAACTAATACAATGTAAATAATATGTAATTGGTTGTTACACTGTGTTATTTAAGGAATAAAGAACAAAAGTCTGTGCATGTTTACTATAGACACATCATTTTTTTTACCCCAAATGTTTTCAATCCTGAGTTGATCTAGTCCATGGAATGTGGAACCATGGATACATAGGACTGACTATATATTGTTTATAGGCATTTTGATACTTCCTGTGGATATAATGCCATTTAACTTTTTTTTTTCTTTTCAAAGCCATATGAAGGATTAAGGCCTCAGGATCTTCGTAGATTGAAAGATATGCTTATTGTGGAAACTGCAGACATGCTTCAGGCTCCTCTGTTTACTGCTGAAGCTTTACTTCGAGCTCATGGTAATGAAAGAAATGTGCTTCTGGTCGCATGAGTAACTTTTGAAACTTCTGAGGTTTTAAAAGGGCTACTTTTATATTTTAATACAGAACAATTGGTTTGTTAAACAAGCCTAAGTTGTATTTTGTGCAGTTGTTACTGCAATACTCAGTTTCTCATAACATCTTGTATTTTGAAAATATATAAATATTTTATATTTATAAATACAAATATCTTGTATTTATGCTGTAAACTAGCATGTATCAAAGAGGAAACTTGGAAGATTCTTTTTAGAAATTGAACTACTAAAGTAAATTATAGATTGTCTCATTTTAGAAATATGTCTGATTTTATTGAGATTGAGCATTGACATTTATAATCCTAGTCCTGGTTTTGACAGTGATTTTTGCTAAAGTCATTCAAGTATAAAATTATGGTAGTTTAATTAAATACCTAAGAATTGTGCTATGAGTATTGTCAGTTTTATTTATTTTATGTAGTAGCTATTTCTCTCCATGAAGCGCACAAAGTGAAGTTAAAGGGTCACCTTGGAACTGTATTGTCCCTTTTAAGGTTTTCTTGTTTTTTGCTTTATTTTGTTTGTTTTTAGACATAACTAACTTTGTGTAGGGAAATTTTTCTAAGTGCTCCGTTTGTTTTATGTTCTTTATATTTCTTATGACAGGCATTCTGAGAGTTCTCACATGTTGGGTTGGATCCACTTATTGCCCACATGATGTTTGACATTTTGGGTGGTTTCAAACAAAAGTATTTTCTGGTTTAAAAATATTCTTTAAAAGATACAAGGTAAATTCTGAATTTAAAAAATAAAAACTAAAAATACATTTAAAAAGAAAAATCAATGGCTATTCTATTCCAGTCATTTTGAGGCCCAGCTGGCTATTTTAACTGTAAATCTTTATCATCTGTACTAAAATAGAATTCTACCTTCCAAAATGTTTATATAATCTTTTGATCAGAAGAAAATTTAAAACTCTTTTTTATCATTCATTGATCACCACTGTTAATAATTTGGTACTGTATATAACTCTCCAGAATCACTACATGAAAAAAAAGATATTTTTATATTTTTTATATTATTGTATTATTTTATGTATCATATTTTATTTCTTATATTTTAGAAATTCTGAATAGTTTATAAAATATATATTTTATAAACTACTCTCTCTCCATATATATATATATATATATATATTTTTTTTTTTTTTTTTTTTTTTTTTTTTTTGAGACAGAATCTTGCTTTTTGCCCAGGATGAATACAGTGAGGCGATCTTGGCTCACTACAACCTCTGCCTCCCAGGTTCAAGCAATTCTCATGCCTCAGCCTCCTGAGTAGCTGGGATTACAGGTGCACACCACCATGCCCAGCTAATTTTTGTATTTTTAGTAGAGACAGGGTTTCCCCATGTTGCCCAGGCTGGTCTCGAACTCCCAATCTCAGGTGATCCACCTGCTTTGCCCTCCCAAAGTGCTGAGATTACAGGCGTGAGCCACCACACCTGGCCTACCTTCGATACTGATGTTTCCCACAGTTCTACAATTGGCATTCTTTTCCCACTGTATATACCTGTAGCTCTGAAATTTTAATGTAAATAAGAATTGACTGGGAAACTAAACATAGATTCCTAGGAATAACCCCAGAGAATCTTAAGTCATTAGATCTACTGTAAGGCCTAAAAATACATGTTGTGAACAAGCCTAGCAAGTGGACCATTCTCTGAGAAACATTGCTGTGCACATTTATCTCATGAAATCAGTGGCTTCAAAAACTACCTAAACAGTAAAGATTTTGTCTACAATGTGACTTTAATCAAGTATTCTGCTGTATTTCTAAAAGCCTATTTATTATTTCTCTCAATCTATGGATGATCACAGCTGGACTTATCTTTTCTCCCACTGTGTTGATCAGTGGGCAGCAATACTCACCTAATTTTCCTAGCCAGAAACTTGAAAGTCATATTTTAGTCCTATGTCCCTATTATATTTGGCCACAGTCCCATATTTCTCTTACTAAATATCTTTCAGCCTCTCCTCACCCTCCCTAGCTCTTTCATTTCCCACTGCCACTGACTTAAGGCTCTCATTACTTTTCATAATCGAAGTACCTAGTCTCCAGTTTTACCATTCTTCTTTCACCCAACTCATTTCTCATATTGCCATTATTGTGTTCTTTTAAAATGCAGACCTGAGCATGTCATTCCCCTGCTGAAAACCCTTCACTGGCTTCCTACAGACTTAAAATCATCCCAAATTTTTAATAGACTTTATAACACATAAAGTTCTTTATCTGGACTGTCAGTCTTCCCATTTCTTTGCCTTTCCCATTCCAACTTATCCTTAGAAATCATTTCTTCTAGGAAACCTTTTCTGAGTGTGTCTTCCAGATTCTCAATTGAGACCCATTTGAGACCCATATAATGGGTCTATTCTCATTTTATCCCATGCATATATGTGTCATATACTTAGAACAGAGTATTATAATCTCTTTATTTACTTTTTTTCTTTTATATTAACATTGAAGCTTCTTGAAATGGCAACTTTTGATTTTTTTTGTTTCCATAATACCTAATATATATTAATCCCTCAGAAAATAGTTTTGGAATGAATAGATAATACATCAGAAATGTTATTTTTATATTTTTTGAAAATCAGCCTTTTTGTTATAAAATTATGTTTTTATTGCCATGTTTATAAACATCAAAGTAAATTCTATAGAAACAATTTTAGACCTGAGTAAAAAACTTAAATTTAGAAATTCTGAATAGTTTATAAAAACAAAAACACTTAATAGTCATAGTATAAAAAACTTGTACAGAAACACAAAATACTTTAAGTTGTGTTTCATTAGGGTAAGGTCCATACCACCAGAAGATATACTCTGTCCTTTGCTTGAGGTTTTTAAATGCAAGATATGCATTTAAATATAATGTAGAGCTGGCAGAAAAGTAGAATCTGTTCATCAGCGAGGAGCTATTACATCATAGTTGTACTGTTAGGGTAGGCTGCTGCTGAAACAAAAATGTAGGATTAAACGCAGTAAATGTTTCTTAATCATGTAATAGTCCAAAGCATTTTCATTTAGATTAGGTAGGATGTGGACTCTGGTCAGGGACTCTGACTGACTGAGACATTGCCATCTTAAACAGCATGACTTCTTTTTTGTGAGATAGTCTAACTCTGTCACCCAGTCCGGAGTGCAGTGGTGCAATCTTGGCTCACTGCAACCTCTGCCTCCTGGATTTGAGTGATTCTCTTGCCTCAGTCTCCCAAGTAGCCGGGACTACAGGCCCACACCACCACACCTGGCTAATTTTTGTATTTTTAGTAGAGATAGGGTTTCACCATGTTGGCTAGCTGGTCTGAAACTCCTGACTTCAAGTGATCTGCCCACATTGGCCTCCCAAAGTGCTGGGATTACAGGCGTGAGGCACCCCACCTGGCCAACAGCATCACTTCTAAGATTGTCCTGCGGGCTGTCTAGGCCCACTAGTTATAGCCAACTAGTTAGAGAAAAGAACATGAAAGAACAATTGTATGAAGTTTTAGGAGCCACTCCTAGAAGCAGCATATGTCACGCCTGCACATATTCCATTCATTAACCTCACTGTCACGTGACCATCCTAACTGCAAACAAACAAACAAAATGCTTCTACACTATAGTGTTTTTGTGTACAGATAGCCGTCTTTGCCAAAGGTATTTACATTCACCCAAATCATATGTGTCTTAACTCTTAAGCTATAGTATCACATAGAATCTAACTTTACCTGTAATTTCACCGTAATTAAAAGAAACATTTTATCTCTATTTTTTACAAATTGTTTTATTAAATATTATCAAAGATCAACTCCATTTTTACTCCATTGATATTTCCCTAAATTCTTTTACAATAAGATGAAATCCAGCTGAATTTTCCTACTTGGCATGATAAACTACTAAAGCATGGTTCTATATTTCATTCCCCTATTAGGGCATAAAATGGAGGCTAATTCAGGTTTTCTTCTCTATTGTTTAGATCATTTCAGTGACATTTGATAAGCAAATAAGATTTACAGAGATAAATGATGCTTGTGAGTTAAATAGATAGTACACAGAACTACAGTTTACTGTAATTCCTCTTAAAGCCAGGACAGGCTGTGTTTTAGAGCTATTAAACTGAACCATTAGGAAGATTTATAGATTGTATCCTTGGTAACATTCATTCAGTTTTATACAGGAAAATAGATTTGAGTATTACACTGTTCTTGTCAAATTTAATCCCACGGTAATGAAGTTGATCTAGATTAAGCAGACGGCAGAAATATTAGCAGTAGTTACTAAATAGTAATTGAATTTTAAGAAGGACTATGTTAGGAATACAAAAGTCGTTCTCTGAATATATCCCCAGTAATAAAAGTAACTTATGTAATTGAATAATACCTAATGAGAAAATGAATATGATTTACAAAATATGTGACTGAGGCTAATTTGCTTGTGTTTAGAATAAATTTATACTGAAGCATTATTTTTAACTCCTTTGGAGGTTCATCATCTTCTAGACAATTAAACATTGGTGTTCCCACATCTTTTCTCATTTTATTCTTTTCCTGGGAAATATTACCTTCTCCCAAGACTTTTGTAAGTATACATTTCTCTGCCCTTCATAAGGACTAGACCTCTCTTATGAACTACATACTTCACTGCTGTATATAATTGTCTGTGTGAAAGCCCCTTCGTTCTGTTCTCAAAACCACCTTAAATTCATCATGTTTAAAACTAAGATGATGTCCTTGCAACTGTACCTGGTTCTCTGGTCTTCCCTAACTCCATAAATGGCAGCACCAGCCAACCAACTGGGTATTCAAGGTAGAAACCTGGACACCAACTTTGACATTTCCTCTCCCATCCTGTCATCACTTAATTGTCAGCTTCCTCTCCTCAATCTTAAACTTCTTCCTTTTTCTTCACTTCCACTAGCTGCCATAATCTCTCAATTATACTACAGAAGTAAGAAAGTCAGAATAA